GTAATCTCAAATTGAGGGTTTAAGGGGGTTTTGGGTCGGCTTCTCTCAGGACTCAGGATCTTCAGGCGGGTTCAGGGTTTGGGGCTTAGGGTTTCGGCTTAGGGCTTAGGGTTTAACCTTAACGCCCTCATGTCAGGGCCCCCTAAAGCCCTGAACGCGACAAGTCCTGAACCCCTGAACCTCTGAATCCCTGAACCACGAAAAACCCTACAAACCTTAAATCATTCTCCTGAACCCTAAAAAGCCTCGAAACCTCTAAACCTCTTCAACCCTTGTTCTCGTCACTCACCCTTCGAATTGCGTTGGATTCATGACTCTTCCTGAAGTTGCAAGTGAGATGACTTCCATTTTTCATTGTCATGTTGTAATTAAGAGAGCACGAACTAAATCTCAGAACACTCATTGATACACATGAAACGAGTGGCTCAGTACATTGCGTGAAGTTGCAATCTAATTCACGCGTTCGCTTGTTCGTTTAGTCGTGAGCCACTCACTCTTTAGTTTGCTCGCGAGTGAAGGTCACACGTGAGAGGTTGAATTCGCTTCACTCTCCAACAGTACTTGTAGCAGTGAGAGAGACAGACCCACCTACCCCAAAAACCCCGTTCTTGTGGGCTTTCAAAACCCTAAACCCTAAACCTTAAACCCCGAACTGCTGAACCCTAAACCCTAAGCCCCAAACCTGAAACCCCTCAATCCCTAAACCCCTATCAGCCCTTAACGCCCAAACTCCTCGGCCGCCTCCGTCAAGCCCTAAACCCTAAACCCTAAACCCTAAACCCTAAACCCTAAACCTTAAACCATAAACCCTAAACCTTAAACCATAAACCCTAAACCCTAAACCCTAAACCCTAAACCTACTCCCCGGGCGCCTCCGTCAAGACGGCCTCCGCCGCGGCCAACTCCTCGGGCGCCAGGGCACACTGCTTCGCGGCCTGGATGGCCTCCGCCAGCCTGGCTGTAGGGTTTAGGGTTTAGGGTTTAGGGTTTAAAGGGGGATTATAGGTGTGAGAGGGGCTAGAAACATAATGGGGGTTTTAGGGATTCTAGGGATTGGGGTTTCAGGATGTGGCTCAGGGTTTAAGGGTGGGGGGGTTAAGGGTGATAGGGGCTTAGGGTTCAGGTTTTAAGGGTTTGGGGTTCAGAAGCTGTGCGGATTCGGAGGTTTAAGGGTATGAGGGTTTATATAAGGGTTAAAGGGCTCAAGGGTTCGAGGGTTCAGGAGTTCAATGGAGTTCAGGAGTTCAAGGCTTCAGAGGTTTTGGGGGCTTAAGGTGTGCGGAGTAAGAGTTCAGGGTTCCAGGCTTTGCGGTTTAAGGGTTGAGGTGGACATTGGGTCATAAGGGTCTAGGCCTTATAAAAACTCAAAGAAAACATCTCTCCCGCTGAAGCATCGAGATTGGGTGGGGTTCGGGGCTTAGGCTGAGAATTTGTTGAATGTGTTGGTGGCACTTAGGGTTTACGGTTTGGGGTTTAGGGTTTGGGGTTTGGAGAGTTTGGGAGCTCGAGGGTGGCTCGTTGAGGATGTTGAACCGCAAACCGATTCAAAGAGGGTAACGGTGTGATGAGGTCATGATGACTGAGACAGCTGCCAAACCCTACACTGCCCAAACCACAACCCCCCACTCAAAATCTTTTAGAGTCTAAACCTCTGACCCTTGACCCTAAACCCGAAACCCTAAACCCTAAAAGCCTTCACATCGCCCCTTCCTCGGTTCCGCGCCTCTTCGCATCCCGCTGGCGCATGGCCAAATCCAGCGCCCTCCGGACCTGCCGGCGAAGATTCAAGCTTAAGGAATAACAAATAAACCTGCTATAGATCTCATATCCTTTATATTGTTCTTGAATTTGATTGTTGTCAGTATTATTATGATTATCAGTCAGTATTCTTATTATTATTATCATTATTTTTATCATTATTATGGAAAACTGCTTAAAGTGATTTTTACAGGGGCTTGGGGTTCGTAGGTGGGGATTCAGGGGCCCAGGGCCGCAAGCCCCGCAGTCCTCGACATCCTAAACCCTAAGCCCTCAACCCTAAACCCCTAAACCCCTACACCAAAACGCTAAACCATCCTAAACCCTAAACCCTACATCCCTAAACTCTAAACCCCTAAACCCTAAACCCTAAACCCTAAACTGCCCTAAACCCTAAACCCTACACCCTAAACTGCCCTAAACCCTAAACCCTAAACCCCAAACCCCAAACCCTAAACCCTAAACCCTAAACCCTAAACCCCTAAACCAAAAACCCTAAACCTTAAACCCTAAACCCTAAACCCTAATGAGGCCTCTGCCAGATGCTTGGCGGCATCCAGGGCCGCCTGACGGCGAAGGGGCTCAGTATAGGATTCTAGACCCAGGAGTAACCAAACAGGGTTTAGGGTTCAGGGTTCAGGGTTTAAGGTTTAGGGTTTAGGGTTTAAGAACCGAGAACCCAGTTTTTGTTGCAGGTTCTTCTTTTCAAACCCATTATGGCATTCTTAGGTATCCTGCAAGAAATCAGGTTTGTGGGTTCTGAAGCTAGGATTGCTTCTGGACCCGCCAGCCCTGTCTGGGATCGGACACACTTGTGAGGGTCTACAGCTCCAGAACCACTCGCGCGACTTCCATGTCGCCATGCTGGTATGGGCTCTACGCTCCTCTTAGAACCTTTTGGCGCAGCCGTATCTTGAAAATTCCCTTGTGGGTTCTACGTAGGCAACACACATGTTCCATGTAGACCCAAAAACAAAATCATCATTGCGATTCGGGGGCCCTAAACCCTTAGCCCCTTAGAGGGGGAGGTGGGGGTAGAGGCCTTTCTGGACGTAGAGTGCAACTGGGGGCTCCGGGCGCTCGGCCAAAAGTGGCATCGGTATGGCCCTCTACGTACATGCTCACATGTAGCAGCATGTAGTACATAGCAATTTCTGTATTCACTTGCAAACACGTCACAACGAAAAATGCATGATATTGTTGCAGGCACGCTTGTGCGATGTAGTGCTGTTGCGATGCTTGCGGTGGGCTTTGCCTATGCCAGACCGGCCGAGGTTCTCTGACATTTCTTCTCGGGTGCTAGACTCTGGTCATCTCTAGGCCACATAACGCCGACCTTGCAGGCATGAACGAAGGTCCGAAGTTAAGCTGGGTCCTTGCTGGGCTTCACGGCCACGAGGGGAGCATCATCCGCATCAGCTGTGTCCGTGCTGGGCTTCGGAGAATCATCCGCATCAGCCGTGTCCCTGCTGGGCTTCACGGGCCACGAGGGGAGCATCATCCGCATCAGCTGGGTCCGTGCTGGGCTTCACGCGGCCACGACGGGAGCATCATCATCAGCATCAGCTGGTTCCTTGCTGACCTTCAAGGGACCACGCGGGGAGCATCATCCGCATGTCCTTGCTGGGCTTCACGGGCCACGACCGGAGCATCATCAGCATCAGCTGGTTCCTTGCTGACCTTCAAGGGACCACGCGGGGAGCATCATCCGCATCAGCTGGGTCCTTGCTGGGCGTCACGGGCCATGACGGGAGCAGCATCAGCATCAGCTGGTTCCTTGCTGACCTTCAAGGGACCACGAGGGGAGCCTCATCCGCATCAGCTGGGTCCTTGCTGGGCGTCACGGGCCATGACGGGAGCAGCATCAGCATCGACTGGGCTTCACGGGGGCACGACGGGACTTGAATCCTCATTTGTTGTGCCCGAACCCTCGCTTGCGAGTCTCTGGCACCCAGCCTGCGCCGGCAAGCAGTCGTCTTGCGGGAGGCCCGCCTGCAAAGCCTCCTGTATGGCAGACTCCAGCCTGCAGCAAGAAGATGCTGCTGCTTGGTAGCTACCGGGTTGCGATGTTCTTATTATACCAACAGTCCTGAATAGGGATAAGAGAAGCCCCTTATTATAATCCCTATGAAAGACTATCCCAAGCTACGGGGTTTTTGCAGAAAGCAGGGCCAGCTTGGTCTTACGGTTGAGGGGGTGTCGGGAGCTGGGTGCAGCTGAGATGGAGGCCACCTTCTCGGTCATGCCATGCCCTAAACCCTAAACCCTAAACCCTAAACCCTAAACCCTAAAACCTAAACCCTAAACCCGAATCTTCAAAAACAACTTCTTGCGGACCAGATGCGCGCTGACATCTGGCTTCCTGGGCAGAAGGATGACTCCACTGCAAGGCAGGTGGAAGGCTTGTCAGAAATGATTCCAGATAGCACCATGCGACATACATACGTAGCAGTTCATCAACAAACATAAACACAAGCATATGTGTATGTGCATATATACATATATACATATATACCTATGTGTTTACATATATACATATACATATACATATACATATACATATACATATACATATACATATACATATACATATACATATTCGATACGCATTGAAAAAACTGCAGTTTAGCTAGCAAAGATATGTATATATGTACACATGCACACATGTATATACTACGTGTGTTTGTGTTTGGGCATCTGTATAACAAACTGTATAAGAAGACGCAGGAAATCTAAAGCTTCCGGCTGTGCTCCTTGAGTGCGTGCCCGGGGGCGTCAGAGCCTCTGCCAGCGCCTCCTTCGCAGTGACTTTGCGCTCTTCTTGCTGAAGGGCAGCTTGTGCTGCCGCCAGCCTGTGAGGGCTTCTAGGCTTCTAGGGTTTCTCCAGCTTCTAGGGCTTCTAGGGTTTACAGGGTTTCTAGGGTTTTTTAGGGTTTCTAGGATTTGTAGGGTTCAGAGACTCGCTTCGCCTACTGGTACCTCACCGTCGATGCGTACCAGAGTTCAGTCGCCCAATCGCTGACAATCCGAGCGGCTCGTCGCTTGGCAGACCCAGATTGATAGCCTGGGCCAGTGCGTCGCGCAGACCAGGGATTTGCCTCAAATGGCTGGCGTGTGAGAAAGTCCCTAAACCCTAAATCCTAAACCCAAAACGGTCCTAATGCGACCTTGGAAGCCTGACCCAGGTAACCGCATCTCTCAAGAACTGCACCTAAGAGACAAGTATTAGCCACCCCAACTAGAGAAGTGAGGCTTGATTAAAACTTGAAACTATGGACCCTGAAAAATCTCGGGTTAGTTCTTAGTTGAGGGCTGAGGGGCTGAAGGGTTAAGGGTCCCTACACCTAAAAGCCCTAAACCCCACACCCTGAACCTAAGCAACCAGTGGAGTCTCAGAAGCTTTCATCGGCCCTTAAGGTTCCGTGGCCGTGCATATATGCCCTAGCAGGAACGCTGAGCCAGATAAACTCGAAATCCTTACTAAAGCCTGCACGTAACCCAAACCCTAAACCCCAAACCCAAAACCCTTTAACCTCTAAACCCAAAACTCTTTAACCTCTAAACCCTACACCCTCAACCCCAAACCCTAAACCCTAAGCCCTAAACCTTAAACTCTAAAACCCTACGTAATTAAACCCTAAACCCTAAATCCTAAACCCTAAACCCTAAACCCCAAACCCCAAGGCAACAAAGCAATCAAAACTGCGCTTGATCAGGCCGAAGCTTCCTGGCAGACACGGCCTTCACGAGGCCGGAGCGCGCAGCTGCCTTCCTCGGAGCGCGTTTAGGGTTTAGGGTTTAGGGTTTAGGGTTTAGGGTTTGGTTCTAGGTCCCAGAGTATACTCGCAGCTTGTTAGGTCCCAGAGTGGAGCTCTTAACAGGGTGGAACCCCCAAACCCCAAACCCAAAACCCAAAAAAACCCAAAACCCCCCCCCCCCCCCCCCCCCCCCCCAAAAAAAAAAACCCAAACCCAAAAAAACCCAAAAAACCCAAAAAACCCAAAAAACCCAAAAAACCCAAAAAACCCAAAAAACCCAAAAAACCCAAAACCCTACACCCTACACCCAGAGGAAGCTCTTGATCCTAAAACCCTCTGAAAAGTATTCCCAAGGGCCTACCGAGCTACTCTAGGGGTCGCCATAATTGCTACTCCTTGCCCAAAACCCTACGCCCTAACCCTAAACCCTCTATACTTATACTAGAATAACCCCCCAAAACCCCCTTCTAATGGGTTTAGGGAGGAGTTTGCGTGGAATCATGCCCTCGCGGGTGTCTGTAGCATGGGAGCTGCTATGCTCGAGGCAGATCGACACAGTCATCGGTTTTGGAGCTGGTTTATGAAGGGGTTTCCGAAAGTATGGTTCCCATCAGGAGGAACATTCTCATGTTTTGGGGGGTATATTCGGGGAGAAGGAGGGGTGGGGGAGGTCTCCAAGAGACCAAGAGAGGAGTTCAAGAACATGTGAGTCGTGAGGCTTCCTGCAAAGGGGGGTTTCGGGGGTTTCGGGGGTTTAGGGGCCCGGGGGTTTAGGTTCCGACTTCGGGGGTTTCGGAGGCCCGAGATTTGGAGTCGGGCCACCGAGCTTGGCCTTCAACTTGGGGAGGTTCGGAGTTGGGGTTTGGGGTTTAGGGGGTTTAGGGTTTAAGGGAGTTGGGGTTAAGGGGGTTTAGGGTTTATAGGTTCCGACTTCGGGGGTTTCGGAGGCCCTAGATTTGGAGTGCGGGCCATCGAGCTTGCCCTTCAAGTGGGGGGAGGTGCGCTTGGTGGCCTCCTTTGGGGTTTAGGGTTTAGGGTTTGGGGTTTAGGGGTTAGGGTTCCCCCGAAGCCCTGAAGACCTTCGACGTCTCGAAGCTGAGAGGCTGAATATCAGCTGCACTCGGGATATACCCTAAACCCTCCCTAAACCCTAATCCCCAAACCCGAAGCCCCGAAGTGCTCCAAAAACCTGCAACCGTCCGCGGCACCGCACAACTAAGTGCAAGCTCAGCAGCTGCTCCTCGTGCGCGAGCGCGGTGCGTGCATCGTCTAGCTCCTTGGCGGTTTTGGGGTTTTAGGGTTTAGGGCGAACCCTGAACCCAAAACCATAAACCCCAAGCCCCAAACAATGTTTGCTCCCACTCCTCACAGCAACCCCTGTCCTCAATGTCAACTTCAAAACTCTACTATGGATTTCTTGGTAGCCCAGTACACATATCAGAATGAGGGCAACTTTTTTGGATTGGTTACCTTCACAAGGGAAGCCAGAACCTCCACAAAAAAGGTAAGGGGTACCACCAAGAATTTACAGTGGCCCCTAAGTAACCCCTAAGTAATTCCAAAGGTTCCTTGTATGAGTTATTCGTTTAAATCCCTTTAGTATAGGACTCCATGCTTTCATGGTGGAGACTGGCTCCATTGGAGCCGATGCTAGGTCTGAGACCGGCAGAAGCCGAGAGCCTGAAGCCCTGAAAGCCACGAAGCGCAACAGCAAGGCGCAGACACGGGTTTAGGGTTTAGGGTTTAGGGTTTAGGGTTCGGGATGGAGGGTTTTAAGGAAAACGTCAACACATGCGCATTGTAGGCTCTGGGTAGTCCTCAGCCCGAAGGACAACGTCCCCCAACCCCATGACTACAACAACTTTCGAGTTGCAAAAAGTATGTACATGAAAAATGTGTGTATTCATTGATACTGTAGAATATGGTACAAAACCTAAACCCTAAACCGTAAACCCTAAACCCCTAAACCCCAAACCCTCAACCCCAGACCCTGCACCCTAAACACTAAACACTAAACACTAAACGCTAAACCCTCGAAAGAGTCGCCCAAGGAGCGGGTGCCTCGAGCCCGGCGGCCTCCGCCTCGGCGATGGCCGC